CCAAATTGTTTTTGTTGATATTTATGTTTTTTACCTTTTGTTAGTTTTCATTGACAAAACAACGTGCTCGTCCTTGTTTTGTTGTGACTTGTTATTAGATTTTGGTTCGTTAAATTTAAATTTTTGTTCGTTATTAAAAAAATAAGCTGAGAAATTACATGATTAGACATACTTTATTAATCTCTATATATTATTATTTATATTTACAAAATATTATGTATCTTATTTATGAGTTTTTTTATCATATATTGAGGAAAATATATCTAGATAGAAATATTTTTGCTCTCAAATATTCTAAAATAGGGAGAGAGTCAAGTGAGAATCTCATATACATAAGAATCACACTAGATACAGTATGTATATAGTCTGATTCGCATGTATCATAGATACATAGAAAAGTGACGAGCGAGATGGGAGGGAGGTGAAGGAGCTAAGCAACGAGATTTGTTATGTATTTCAGATATATGTATAAAAAAATTACATCTAATTATGATCCTATAAATTTATCCCAAAATACATGTATCTAGATAGCTATCTTGACGCACCAAAATTTGATATGATGCATAACATTACTAATTACGTATCTAAATAATTAACTCCTAATTGTAATACGATAAAAAAACTTATAATTATTCAATAAGCAATGCGATTAAAATTTCGTAGACTTTTTTTTCATGTCCTTTAAGTGCACTATCCAAAATATCAAAATCTTTTCATGATGAAAAATCAACCTCTCTCTATTTGTTTTATTTCTTGTAAATAAATGTCTGAATGGTGTTGTACGTTGTTAAAAAGAAGAGAAATTTATGTATACTATTTAATTAGTCATCATAATAATTTATTATAAGGACAACCTTCACATATAACAAATAAAAAATTCATATTTGTATGTTATAGCAAGTTTGCATAATTGTGCTACATAGCAAACATATAACTGTATAATTCGCTATACATATACAATTATATACTTCGCTGGCCTAAATTGTATGATTCACTGACCTCGCTATACATATACAATCGTATGATTTGCTGGCCTAAATTGTATAATTCTCTGGCCTATTTCACTGCAATTGTATAATTCACTGGCCCTTTTTCACTGCAATTATATAATGCGCAATTGTATAATTCGCTGCAATATTTGTATAAAATTTGCTTTGCATACAATTGAATGGAAGTAAAATGTTTGTATATTGTATAATTATAAGTGTATAGGAAGAAGATATATGTTTTTCTCTCGCTTTATACAAAACACAAATTATACACTTCTGTTTTATAAAGCGAGAGAAAATTGTATGTCACTGCAATTGTATAATTCGCAATTGTATAATTCGTTGGCCTTTTTCGCTATAATATTTGTATAAAATTTGCATTTGTCTACAGTTGAATCGAAGTAAAATGTTTGTAAATTGTATAATTAAGTATATAGCACGAAGATATATGTTTTTGCATGTGTATATACAATTTTCTCTCGCTTTATACAAAACAGAAACACGATTTATACACTTCTGTGTATAAAGTGAGAGAGGCAAGCAGAGGGAGAGTGGCGAGCGAGAACGGGAGAGTGGCGAGCGAGAATTTTGGGAGAGAGGCGATTGACAAACTTTGGAAAACGTTTCTTATGGAGCACAATTAAATCAAACCGTAGCTACTCCATTTATTTTAGGCTATTTGTTTGCTATTATATACAATTATCCCTTATTATAATTACTAATTGCAATTAATATTAATCTTTGATTATGTGGATTGATTTTGAGTTTGTATAGTAACCTCGTTTATATAATTTGACACATTTATATGATTCACAACTATCAATTCTTCGTTGTTTTGTATTTATATATGATGTCTCCTTTGATTTTTCAATTTTATCACCATATACATTCAATATAATTTATATAATGAAAATTTATATATAATTTATTTAACTGTTTAAAGTTCATATATATATGTTTGTATCAATGTGTTATATCAAGTTTTATCATTTATATAATTATAAACTAAAAGTTCATATATATATGTTTGTATCAATGTGTTATATCAAGTTTTATCATTTATATAATTATAGACTATGTATTGTTTAATTATACAAAAACATGTGAATTATACAAACGTACATGAAAATTATATTAACAAGATGGGAATTATACAAAGTATTGTCTCTCTCTCTCTCTCGCTTGCCTCTCTCAATCTCGCTCGTTAGATATACAATACATATGTATATCAGTTACATATATACAATTATTTTGAAAGATATCCATATACAATTCACATCTCTCCTTTCTCTCGCTCGCCTCTCTCCTTTCTCTCCGAATTTCGCTTGCCACTCTTCTCTTTATAACATGCAATTATGAATCGTAATTAACAAACTATAATTGTGATACATAATTAAGCTATTTTTCGAAAGTTCACTAAAGAAAGAAATTGAATTGGGGTACTTACACTATAACAAAAATGACCATTAGCGACATTTAATTCTTAATTGCCGCTAAATATGTATTTTTAGCGGCAATTGTCACTCTTTATATATGTCCCTAAAGCCTTATACGATATTAGTTCTAATGACACTTAACTAATGTTGATAAAAACGTTAACATTTTTTACTAACATCAATATTTAATGTCGCTAAAAATTAATTTTTGTCGTAGTGTTACGTGTTACGACTACATCAAGTCATCAACCTAGATTCATGTATTATTTATTATTAATAATGTATGCTTATTTGTTTATAAAATAATAAAGAGAGAACAACTATATGGACTCTTTGTTCCTCTTTCATTAAAAGGAGTTCAAGCAAAATAATTATATTGCTGAAGATTTTTTATATGTGATTGATACAATATGATTGGTGAAATAAAATTGGTCTATTCATCAATAACTCTTTAAAGTTGATATTAATTTTTACTTAGATATTTTAATTAAATTTTATTCATTTTAAATAGCTTATTTAAAATTGTATTGTGTCATTTTGTCTAAGTGAAAAATTGTGTCAACTTTAATGGTCTTCTAAATTATGTGTTTGAGTTTATTCTTGAGGTCTCTTCATTAATAAGTTTGATTGAGATTAAACAATATATTTCCACTCATAATATAATATTCAAGTTGTTAATGTCAATTCAAATTATGAATTTCACATCTATCCACAAGAGTAAAACAAAAAAAAAAAAAAAATCAAAGAAAGTCTTTTCAAATTATGAATTTCATATTTAATTTTTTCCCTATTTAGTTTGTCCCTCAAATTTCATTTTATTTTTGGATCCCACAGCTTTATTTTCTGTCACCTGTAGGGTTATATGACGGAAATTATTGGTACTTTAGCAAGAAAGGGACATTTTAAACATTAAAATCTTTCTTATTAAAAAGATCTTTTTATAATACAAAAGGTACTAAAAAGCAATAGTATATAACGAACCCTCCTCGACATAATTTTTTTTTCAAATATTATGTTTTTATAATCCAAAAATAAAAATTTATATATCATATGAAGTATAATATACCATGTGAGACGTTCACATCTTTCTTTTATGATATTAATTAAATTAATTAATTTTTCTTTGTTAGTATTTCTCGTAGAAATCATGAGGAAAATGATTTATCATTTTTTTGTCCACGAAAGTGACAATTCTTTCTATCATACTTAATTAAAACTTAAGATCGACAATATAAACAAGCTCATATATTTCTCTCATCCGATCTTGATCTTCCCCTAGATACCTTAGATTTAATTCTTAAGTGAATTAACCATTGATTGCTAATCAAGGAAACCAAATTATTGAATTTTAATTATTTTTTCCCCATTAATTGGGAATTGGATTATCATAGCAGCAAAAATACTCTATGATAGTACTATTAATAAGTGCATTACAAAAGTTGCAAAAGTACAATATTATAAAAATACTTTGCACATGCATCGATTAAGCAGAACAATTTTTGCTATGTTATTAAATCATTTAGTCAGACGGCTAATGAATTTAATTAAGATTGGATTAGATCCAGCTAACCAGAATAATTAATGCTCTAATTATTAAAAACCATAGTACTTAACTTTCCTTTAAATTGCTACATAGCCTTAATCCAATTTAAACACCAAACTCAAGAAAAATGTTACGATTTACTTCCTCGATTTTCTTTTACTTGTCAAATATACTGAAAAATATTTTTTCCTTTCATTTTCTTACTTGGAAAATCAAAAAAGAATTTTTTTTCAATTTTCCAAAAATAAATTGAAAGTGTTAGTAATTAAAGCTAGTTTTACAATGTTCCATTAATAACAATAGAGTAAATTACATCTTTAAATTAATACATTCTGAATGGAATAGTAGGATAAAAATTGAATTATACCGAATATTTATATTAAATCAATAAATATAGACACATATATGTTAAATGTATTCGTATCATTTAATCGTGATTAAGTTTATATATATTTTAACTTTATTAAATCATTAAGTTAAATTATGTTAATTCAAACATTCAATGCTTAGAAATACTTATGATAAAAGTAGAAATTTATAATGAACTAACTCATCATTTGATCTTTCACCCTTTGTAGTGGGAAAAAGGGGGTGTTTTTAGCTAAAAGTAGTAATCCCATAATTATTAAAGAATGAGGTATTGAAGAGCCTAGAATAATAGATGAATGATTATAAACCAATTATTATTATTACTATTATTATTATTGTGAAAAAAGACAAGTTGGAGTGGTTCATAAAGTAAATAAAATTCTATTTCCCAAGATATCACAACTTATAAATGAATGACAATGATGCATGTGTATGACTATGACTTTTGAGGGGCCTAACCTCTATTTTAATAAATGCCATCACATGATCCAAAAATCCAATAACCAAAAGACTAAAAAGTTAAGAACAATATTTCGTTTATCAGTCTTATTTAAATTTAAATTTTTAAATAATATAAATAACATAATTAGATTCTATTTAGTTTTAATTTATTTTTTATTTAATTTTTAACTTATAAATATAAATAACAAGGTTAGACCTTACCTTACCGATCCCGACGAGTCAAAGGAACTTATGGATTCTTTTTAGCTAACTTCAAGTTGTTTATTTGAATTTAAAAATGTTTTGGTACAGTATTTTTTATTTAGTTTTTTAAGTGTTGTAAGCTTAAGTTCTCTCAAAGGAGAATCAAAGAAATTAGCCCTTTATTCTTGTCTTTGTGTATTAGCTAATCTCTATTGTTTTTCTATCTTTTTTTTTTCTTCTCTCTCTTAGCTCATATTTCTTTAAAGATTTCTGATTTTTTGGGTGTTTTACAGCTAATGTATACATAGTGTTTATGCTTGTTCATTCAGCCAAGAAAGTCACTTTGCAGATTGCAGTTCAAGATCATCTTTTTATCAAAGGTACTAAAACTTTCTCACTGTATTATTCATTTTTATTTCTGTCTATTATGTATTAGCATTGATTTCTTTAGAGGGGTTTTGCTAATTTTGTTGAAAGGGATTTCTTGGATTTTGGTATGGTTCATTTTCCATTTGATGTCTAAGAGTTCTTTATAGTTCCAAGTTTTGATCTTTTTTGTTGTCTTGCAACTCTGGAAGAAGAAGAGGGTGTAGGGTGGGTGGGGGTGGGGGTGGGCGGTAGGAAGGGTCAAAGGTTCTATCTTTTTTGTGTGTTCTTTTGGTAGATATGTTGCATGTAGAAATGGAGATTATTGGATTGGGGAAAATGGGATATAATGTATTAAGGTAAGAAAAATTTGGATTGATAACATGTTGGTTTAGATAGAAATAGTATCAAGATTCCATGAGTTCATAGATTGGATACTCATGAATCAAAATTTTAAGGTTAGGCTTGTGGAATGCATCTTTTTTTTTTTTTGAAAATTTAATTGGTAGTTTTCGAAGTAAATGGAATTTTTGTGGAGATTGGTATGAAGCTGCAGCCGTGTTTTTTACCTCCGAATCTTGTAGCTAAGCTTTTCCATATGATGATCCAGAAATTTACCTCATTTGTTCTTTCAAATCTTTTTGTTCATATCAATTTGTACGAGTCAATCCAAGTATATTTAAGTAGGATAGTGCATCTGATTCACTGCTATTAGGATCTCCATTGTTGAGTGTGAATCTGGTAGCATGGGCGGAGCTAGGGGGGTGCAAGGGAGTTCATCTAAATCCCCCTTCCCCCCCTGAAAACTACTGTTTTTATGAATATAGACTAAATTCTTTTGGTTTTTCGTGTGTTTGTTTCTTTGACCCTATTTGGATGGATTTATATCTTATGGATACCCTTAGTGAAAATCCTGGCTCTGTCACCGTCTAATTGACGGTAAGATTGCACTATTTAGGTCAGGTGGAGGGCAGAGTCACAAGTGAAACTCATGAACTATGTACACGACAGTTTGTGCTGTTAAGGCCCTACATGTTGGCATTCTTGTCTAACTATTGGTGCCAGCTGCAAGCACAAGTTGATTGCTTTGAGATCTTATCCAATGTAAATGAATCCTGTAAATGTTTACACCAATGCTTTTGCAATTAGATAAGAGTATACTTGTTGCACTTGTACTGGGTTTCGTGTTTGCCAGGACTTATTTGTTGTCAGGTTAATGACTATTATCTACTATCCTCTCTTGACCCCACTTGTGGGACTATACTGGGTATGTTGTTGTTATATCTCCGTGTAAGATAACTATAAGATATCTAGCTTTAAAGAACCATTAGTTTGCCAAAATAGCCCAACTAGGGATAGCGATGATTATTGCTTCTCTTAGAGAAGCTGACAAATATAAACATGCATTTACTCAGTTATGTAGTGTTCGGAGGAGTAACAATAATCTGCATTAATTCAACCATTGTTATTGAGGAAAGTATCATTTGTTATATTGTTCGTGTTGTTATATATAGCAGTAGCAGTAAGTGTGACAGATTGATGGTTATACCTGCAGAAATAAGGTGTTTCTATGTTGCTAAAGAATCTCGTCTGACAGATTGATGGTTATACCTGCAGAAATAAGGAGTTTTGATGTTGCTAAAGAATCTCATGGAGGACAAGCAGCTGAATTTGGATCAACCGTTTCTGTCAGTAAGACGAGCCTCTCCAACAGTGGCTTCTGGGAGTGATGAGACAAAGAAGACTGAATATTCTCTCCCCTCCGTAACTCATCCTCCTCGTTACAAATCAGAACTGAAGTCAGGTCCAGTGAGGAATCCAGGAGTTGTGCCATTCCGCTGGGAACAGAGCCCTGGAAAACCCAAGTATGAAAGCAAACGGCAAATTCGTGCTACTGAGAAACCACCTATTGCCCCGAGACTTCCCCCAGGGAGGAAGCTGAAAGATATCCAGGATTCTGATAAAGCTCATGAAAGTCAAAATGTTAGTGAAAGCCAAACAGGAAATGCTCAACATTTCACACCGAGTTGCATGAATTTGGATGAAAAGGTGAAGAAGATTGAGAGTATTGACTGCTCAAAAGATATGATACAGGATATGGAAAAATGTGATTCAGAAGATGCTGATGAAGTATATTTGGATGCCTCCAATACACTTTCAAGAACTGAATCATTCTTCGTGAATTGTAGTGTAAGCGGCTTAAGTGGATTAGACGAACCAGAAGCAAAACTATCTGGTACTTCTTTAAGAGATCCACAAGCTAGAGATTTCATGATTGATCGGTTTCTGCCAGCAGCCAAGGCCATGGCTTCAGAAAAGTCTTTAGAAACGCCTCAGTATGCTCCCAGGAAGCAACCAGCTGTTCAGGAGCAACCAAGACAACTCAAGAAAGTACTAAATGGGGATAAGAGGCCTCAGCTGCGCTATGGACCTAGTTTTGCACTTCGTTATTCCCAATTCCATGATAACTATGAAGAAGAAAGTGATGATGATAGTTGTTATGATGGAAATCTACCTACCAAAGTTTGTGGATTATTGCCTCGTTTTTGCTTGAAAAGTTCGTTTTGTCTGATGAATCCTATACCTGGAATGAGTGCTAGAACCAGAGTACCAATGTCTCCTGCCAGTAGAACACAGACTGGATCATCATCTACCGCTTCTTGCAGTGGATCAGAGAATGAGGTATCAATTTCCACTGTCTTTCTTCCCGTCACTTCTGTTGCTCTACTGCAGCCGCTTATGTTGTGCTACCTTCCTCTCCCACATTTTCTTTATCACTTATGGTTTTAACTTATTGCAGCAGTCCAAATCTGAGTCAGTGGCCGGATTTGTCACAGTTCATGCGCATGAGGACACAAATGATCGCTTTCAAGAATTATTTGATTATCAGAACATTGCAGGTGAAGCGGATTTAGCAGCTCCTCTGGCAGAGAAAACTCTGCATGTAGATATTGTACATAAGGTGGAATCTCCAATTATGAAATCACCTCCTAAAGCGGAGAGACCATTTAACTTACAGGATGAGAATCAAGATGTTCTTAAAAAGATGGCAGAACAAAAGCCCTCTGTCGATTCTTCACTTAGTTATTTTCCACCAATATCAGCGGAAAAATTGAACAATGGAGGGGAAATGATGGCACTGACAGCTTCTGAACAAGCTCATTACCAGGATGCAGTCACCTCAGTGAAACGCAAAGATGATGTTAAACGAAGTACCAGAAAGCAAACAGTACGAAAAGAAAAGTTAGAAAACTCACGCGTAACACATTCAAAGCTTCCTGCTCCCCCTCCTTTACCAAAATCTCCATCTGATTCATGGCTTTGCCGTACTTTGCCTTCACTGTCCACGAAAAATCCATCTTCAAGATCATATGTTGGGACAGGAATAAGTCCTAACAACCAATCTTGTAAGCCACTATGTAGTGATCCCAAGTGGGAAACAATTGTTAAAACAACAAAGGGACATCAACAGCATTTGCGATATACTGAGGTAAATTCTCTCACACAGTGTTCAAGTTTGTGAGGCATCTTTTTTCCTTCTTGTTGTTTCTGCTGCCTCTTTTTTTATCGGTCCTTCAGCCGAGGGTCTATTAGAAACAACCTCTCTACCTTCTCAAGGTAGAGGTAAGGTTTATCTATGCTCTACTATACCCTCCCAGACCCCACCTGTAAGATTACACTAGGTTTCTTCTTGTTGTACAGTGTTCAAGTTTGTGCACTTCTCTTTCCAAGACGAACCCTCAAACTCGTTAACTTTGGGAGTGGCTCGGCTGATTGTCTGCTATATTTATGTGTAACTTCTTCTCTGTTTTCTAAAATTTATCTCGAATCTACCAGGAAATGATGACATTGACACCTATACCAGAAGCTCAATAGAAGACATAGAGGTTGTTTCCCATGCTTTCCCCGCGTAAATGAAATAAGTTCCTCGGGTAAAACTATCAATACAACTGGTTGCAAGATGATTGAAAATATTCAGTTTTTGTCTGATTTTACACTACCAATTTCCAGTTTATGATGGGTTTATAAATGTAAGTTTTGTGCCCAAGTTCATATTCTGTTATTTACACCATGTGATAGGAGTCTTTGTACAGGTGTTTATAAGAGTAAACTTGAAGTCCCCTTATATATGAGTTGATTCATAATAAAAAAAGTTTTCTGGTTTTATGCACACATTCCATGTTTTCTGATTGACCATTACTTGTACAATTTACTTAACAATAACGACATATCTAGTATAGTCTCACAAAGTGGAGTTCAGACGTGATAGAATCTGCCTCAGAGATAGAGAGACTGTTTTTGATAGATCCTTGGTTCAAGGAGAAAAACTAGTCCAGATTCCAGAATACTTGTACAATCTACTACATCATGGAAAATCTACGTAATATTTCATTTAGTTGATTTCTCACGTGATCACTCAAGTAACTCAACTAACAGTTAATTATATCAGAGTCATTTTCAAGGTCATAACTATTAGTTGAGTGGCCACAAGAGAAATCAACTCACATTGCATAAGATTCCAATGCAGGATGATGAGTATTTTTGGCTAAATACATCCTTAAACTATACCCTCTAACTTAAGTTATATCCTTAAATTACTTTTTCACAAAAAAACACCCTTCAAGTATTTTAAACTTGACAATTTTCATCCTTTTATCAAAATTTGCCAAAGCTAATAATAACAAAATTCATACAAAATAATGTATGACCTGCACATGCTTTTGTATAAAGTCCATCAATTATTCGACAAAAATTTTAACAAAAAGATGAAAGTGGTTATGTTTTAAATATTCGGGGAATGCTTTCGGTTAAGAAGGATAATTTAAGGATGTAGTTCAAGTTGAAGGTAAAGTTTCAAAATGCTTTTGGCTAAAAACTCACAGGATGACTATCAAACTCGGACTTTGATACCACTTTATATGGACAATATATCTGGGTGCGCTTCGGAGGTCTGGCTCTAATACTATTTTAAATAGGTATTCAACGTTAACTCAATTTTAGAAGTTAGTTCAAGAGGGAGGATTATCCCAAATACATGTAAGGTAGTTTAGACCCTTCCATCACATAATAGGATATTATTCTTTCTGTCACATAAGTACAAGTATTTGTTTCTTTTTTCAAAACTCAATAATGACCCGAGTAGCATGGGGCACGTGAAATTCTATATAAATCAGCAAGGATTACTTTGCAAGACTAAATACTCATGGATGACCGATTAAGAAGTAGTACTCCAAGGGAGGGTGAAGATAACCCCCACCGGAAAGTAAAATGGAATATGAAATCATAAGCTTTCAAGCAGTTTGCGAAGCCAAGGCTCTGACCATGTGCCTATTGAAGAATAAGCTGAGAAATTGTAATATGGAATTCATAAACTAAAAATTCCGACTCTACCCTTAGCGAAATCTCCAAAACTTTCTTAGCAATTTCTATTCTTGAGATCCCTGACAATCTTGATGGTCAATAGAGTTATGAAGACTATGGTCAAAGATTACTAGAAGAGTCAATCAATAACAGTATTAAGATCATGTAAATTGCTTATTTTCTAAAAGTACTAATATTTCTAATGAGGGAAATTATTACTTTAAAAATAAACACTAGCCCTTTTGTCAAATATTAGAAAACAGTTATAATGTACTCTATTCGTTTTAATTTGTTTGTCGTATATCTGACTAAACATAACTCCAATTTTCGAATGTCATTTTTCAATTAGAAAGCAAAAATTACTTTTTTTTTCTTTTCAAATTTCACAGTGAAACATGGACAAATGTCTAGTTTGACTGGATCGCACGGAATAAAATAAAGAAACTTTTAAATCTAATAATTATAAACTAAAGATGTGTAATGTGTTGGGTTCGGAAGTGATTAAGGCGTTATGCGGAAGCTTACAATTGTAAATTATAGAATTGATAAATCAAATGACAAAAGTTTATACTAAAAATCAAAATATTGTTATATGAAATTTGGCCAATTGGAATGCATATTAAAAACTAATAAAAAACATTAAAATTGTAGAAAGAAAATCACTCCATAAACAAAAAGCTCTAAACGACTACATTGTGAATACTATTGTGTTATGTTATGAGAATCGAGATCTTTAATTTATAGATCTCCAAAACATTTCCTCTAAGGAAATAATAAAGCAAATATGGAAGAAAATTATACTTTCTTTTCAGAAAAAGTTCAAGCATTTACGATAATACTTTGATTTTTCTTAAGGAGAAAATAAACTTCAAACAAGGTAAGAAAATCAGGGCAAAACTCTAACATAATGTACCTATATGGTCATTAATCTTGTAATTTAAAGCATATCATGTGAAATGTTGGGATTAAACTGTTGCCGAAAAGGAAAGAGAGATTCTTTTAAACAGATTAAAAAAGATAACAAGACAAGAAAATTAAAACGAAAGGAGTAATTATCCTACTTTATGTAGGAAATGAGTTATGAGTCCTCTATATATGCATTCATGTTCTATATAGGAGAAAGTAAATAATATAATGGCTAGGTTCTTGGTTTCTTCTTTGAATGTTGGATAACAATTCTAGTAAAGCTAGTGCTATGATTAGTTACTATGGAGTCTTGTTCTTGCTCTATGTTATCATTTTCTCTGTTTTAGTGGTGTCAATAGTGGCATTTTCATGTACTGATCATCTTGAAAATGACAAAGTATCTAAGAAGAAAAAGAAAACCAAGTCTAAGTCTATTGGTGCTAATTGTGGTTCTAATTTTGGTGCTACTAATGGAGTCATCATGTATGCTAGTGGTGCTGGTGGTGCTTGAGGATGTAGCGGTGTCGGTGGCGGTGGTGGAGGTGGTGGATGTGGCAGTAGTGGTGGCAGTGGCAGAGGTGGTCGCTATGGTGGTTGCTGAGTGATTGTAAAATGTAAACTTTAATGTTACTCTTCTATGACTTATGAACTGATACGTATTCTGGAATTCTCCAATTCAGTGGAGTGGGGCTTACCTTGAAGCGGATTCCAATCTCTTAGCTTTTGCCTTCCCCGCTCGCTCTGTTTTTTTATAGGCTTAAAGTGTCTTGTTAAGTTTCCTTTTTGTTAAGCTAGCTTATATAAAAAAGCACTATATGGTTTCTTCTATCCCCACAAATTGAGGGTGTAATAGTATGGTTCAATTGGTTATTTTATAAAATTTATGTCATATTGATTATTTTAGTTTGTATAATTAAAATATTTTTTTTGAAATCATCTCATTATATCGATTTCTCTTTGATATTGCTACGATGCAATTGATTTTGAGCATCTTTTTTCTTAAAGATCATGTGACTCACTCGTATAACTTAGTACACGTGTTTTGTACGATTTTGACAAGTCTACTAAGATTAAGAAAACTTTAGGAGTCATTTTGGTATGATGTATATGGTATAATAATTTTAAGGATAAAATATAACACTATTTTAAACTACATTTGGTTGGAGGAATTAGATAGTTTTAGAATTAATCATTCAACCATGTATACCATAGTGATGGAATAAGTTATCCCATATGCATGGTTTTAAAATAATTAATTTCGAGATAACTTATTTCTAACCAAACGACTTAAAGCATATACGACGACAAATATTTAATTATACCTTTGTAACTTATTAGTTACTATTCAAGATGCTAGAACTCAGTTAGGGTTGTAAGTCATCCTCCACCATCAATCCTAAGATAATTCTTTTAATACATTTTTGGAAAAATTACATAAATACACCACTCTTGATTTGATAATCTCTAAAATTTTCTACCATCTTTTAAAAAAAGAAATACAAAAGTTTCCTCCCAATACTTCCCTATACAATAGAATGAAACCGTTCAAAAGGAGTACGCTATCAGGTCTTACGAGGTAAGGTCAACTGATTAGTCCTGACAGGATAATCGGTTATATGACGATTCTTGTCGACTGGGGCTACAATTTCAAAAATCTCTGACCATAGTAAACTCCTTCTTGTTGTACCGAAATAGAGGTCTAATTTAAACGACCCGGTACATCATCACATTTTACACCCAAGGAAGGTACAACCCAACTACGAGGTACATCAACCGATGTTACAATAAACGTATATGATTCTTTGTAGGTAGACTCACTCTATTGTCGACTTCTAATAAACGTGAATGACAGAAGGGAACTTCCCTAAAAAGCCTAATAGCAATTAACCACATAAGAAATAACGAATTGCACTCTAAAAGGAGGTACCCTCCCAATAGATGTCAGGAGGGATATCCCTCTTGAATACGGATACACCCCTCCCATTTAACATATCATTTGCAATGCATCGATTAACCAAGGTATGCATATGAAAGCAATGAAAAATTCAAGATTTTTGTAATTAGCCCCCCAAATGTATAAGGTTTCTGTAATTTATACAATTTGTAATGTTTCCATTATTTTTTACTTAATCCAGGGAGAATATTAGTAGCTAAGTTGGTCCCCCTCCCCACCCCCCACCCCCCAAATTCACAAGTTCGCTAAACTACTTATCGATTGCCCGCAAATTTGTAACATTCCCCGATTTGCTAACCTACTTGTCGGTCACCCGCAAATTTGTAACCACAATAGGGCTCTGGACTTACCCCTCCACCCTCAAGCGAATTCACCAGTTTGTTTACCTACTTCTTGACTACCCGCACTCTGTAACCATAATGGCTCTTGACTTAAACCCCCCACCCCACCAACACCAGTGCTAACCTACTTCTCAGCTATCCGCACTCCTACTTGTCAGTCACCAGCAAATTTGTAACCACAATAGGGCTCTCAGCTATCCGCACTCCTACTGGTCAATCACCAGCAAATTTGTAACCACAATAGGGCTCTGGACTTACCCCGCCACCCTCCAGCGATTTCACCAGTTTGTTTACCTACTTCTTGACTACCCGCATTCTGTACTCAGAATAGCTCTTGACTTAAACCCCCCATCCCACCAGCACCAACACCAGTGCTAACCTACTTCTCGGCTATCCGCACTCCATAACCTGAATAGGGCTCTGAAATTAACCGCCCCTCCCCCCCCCCCCCCCCTCCCACAAACTAGTTTGAACGTACTTCTCAGCTACCCACACTCCATAACCAGAGTAAAGCTCTAGACTTTACCCCCACCCCCTAAAAGAAATAGTGAGGCAAACCATATTGAACTCATTATCCACCGAAGTGAGGCAAAACAGCAAGCACAAAGAGAGCTGCTTTTTTAATGGATCAAAACTTCATTTATACTCTGTCTAACCAACCGTTAACTATTTTAAGGTGAGGTCAGTAAATTAATGTAATGGTATATAATGATATATACATCTCAAATGCCCCTATTTTCTCACCAATATAAAAATCATCATCATTATTCTCAGACCGGCGGTAGACACGTTACTCATTTTACCTGAATGCATCATAAAAGTTGGACAGAACCAAAAAAATGAAACATGTCATGTTTTGATGACACGGCCTTTGTATTGCCCTCTACGGATCATAAAGTCATCGGGAAGTTGAAACTCTCCCAACCAAGTCACGTCGGAGAATGTCACTCCATCCACCTCGAGTTCACCTTAAAAAAAAAACATGTCAAAGTACTTCAGATTTTCAATACAATTCATATTTGTGCAAAATTTCTCACAGTGCAACTACCTGGCAGATCCGCTACTGGAGACCTCCGGAAATAAGTGCAATGCCGTCCATCCTCAGAAGAGTAAGGCGGAGAAAGGATGTCAAAAATAGCACAAGGAGTTATAGCTTTGAAACAATGGATGTTGCCTCCAGAAGTAGGATACAGAGCAGTTGTCCCACACGGAGCAGTCATGTCACAGTCTTTAACGAGCTTTGCCGGTCTTGCACCTGAGCAAGCAACATTAGGAGCGAGCAGCTGAAGATAGCAAACTGCGATGTGTGTATATTGTATGTATATATGTAACTGTATATGAATTCAAGAGGTCGAGAAGAAGTAGCAGTAGAATCCTGTATGATGAACATTAATCCCAAAAAATAATACCTTAGATAAACTAGAACCAATAAAGAAAGAGAAAATAAACTCGTAAAAACTAGCATTTCTCTATTCAGAATCTTTGGTCACGCAGTTGCAATCAACTATTTACAAGTAATATAATTATGTGCATGGGATACAAAATTCTGCACAAGATGGGAACTGATCCCTCGACTTTGCAAGTTTACAGAACTCAACAAAGTGGTTATTAGTACAAGCAAGCACAAATTATGCAGATGATGCAATTAAACCCTCAAACTTAGTTGTAATCTTTATACCTAGCTCTCAGTCAGTAAGTTTTATGGTTGAATTCGAAAAGAGGAGTTTGTAAGGCCAAAATAGGCATATCATGAAACAAACTACAAAACAAATATGATAAAAAGAAAAGGCCGGAAAACCATGCCAACAGAACCAGAGATGAGAAAGGGCTTGCCACCCAATTAGAAATAATATAGCAGAAAACAAGCACATCAAAAACATCTAGTCCGAAAACTCTATGTTCTGCAACGGAATGATTGCATATCCACCAAGTACATTCTAGACATCCAATTAAAGACTACGCACCTTCCAATGGAACCAAAGGACCTGGAATATTGATCCAATCATAGGCTTTCACGTGAAAGGAACCATATACCAGCTTACTTAAGACTGTCATCCCAGGGTGATTGTGTAGAGGTATGATAGAGGAAGGCGGCATGCAAAATATCCCCATCTGCGAATAACACCAAACAAGATAAAAGATTCAATCATGCATCATTTCTCTACAACTGGAACCCCTACAAATTGATATTAATCATCCATATTCTCCAAATATCAGCACTCTCTACAACCCCCACCCTAAACCTCCTTCAGAAAAAAAAAGGAAAAAGAAAAAGGGTGAAAGCACAATGACACACTTACAGAGAAGCTGTCACATTCATGTAAGTGCAGGTATTTGATTGGTGGCGGTGGCTGTAGTTCCCCATTGCGCTCGTGCAGAGTACTATTCCAACTCCGTACAAGTTGTGCTTCTTGCTCAAGACCCACATCAGAAGGCTTGATTTTATCTGCAGCCCAAATGTCAGTAATATAAGTCATTTATAAAAGCATAGGCCAAAATGAGCCTGAAATTTCATGGAAGGCCAATGATCACAAAATTGATAGTTTAACTCATGGCCCAAATAAAATTGCTGTAAATGAGAGTTTAGAGACTTGAGGGAGAAATTCAAAATCATTTTAAATCATGAATTTTGCAGTTCTATGCAATATTTATTTATTTTTTTTTAAAAAAAAGGAGGAGAAACACAAAAATATGATTATAAGTAATACGGTGCTATCCATGAGAAAAGTTACACGTCAAACTGAGCCTAATTACTGTCCAACCCACCCTCCATGATCAAATACTGAACAAGCCAAACGCTAAATAAAGATTGCTTGCAAAACCATATTGACTGCTTCAGTTGTCTATCTGAGATTGAGACTGGATATGGGTTTAATTTACATCCCATGTGCAGAAGTCTCAACCTCAGTTTTTTCCAAAAAATTTAACATTGTTAATCCCTTGAAGCTTTCCCCACTTCACTACTGTAATTTAATGTCAGACAAATTCTCAATTCCTATTAGTGATTAGATAATACAAATCTCAATTTTTTACCTCCACGGTAAAACCAATCTAAATCTGTCCCCAACTACCACCACCGCAAAAGAACTATCAAGAAAAATATTAAAATCATCCAATCTCCAAATAGCTTCTCCATGGAATTGCTGCCAGCTTTAAATATTATAGTATTTTGCAAAATGTGATAAATGCATGAAAAATGAATTTATCGCATAAAATTTCACATCTTTTGGAAGCTGATATGAAGTAATCCAGTGATGCTTTTAAGATCTACTCACTAATATGATATGCATTGATTTCTCTCTCTGGCGACATCCCGCATATATTATTCAATTGGACCATTACAAAAAGAGGATATCATCCTCAAAGAGTGTTTAGATAAATGTTATCCACTTGACCTTGTAGATAAGCTATAAGCAATCTTATTCATAACTTACCAAAGAAATCAAACAGTGTGATTCAATGGTTAGACATTCATTCTTCAAGCTTCTTTACATTTTATAGATAATATTCTCCATTAGTCTCAATCCACCAATGGCAGAGGAGAAAGATAGAATGTGGTTACTTCACACAAAGATCCATCAAAGTTGCTAAACCTTCACCATCACACATCTATCTATATCTATAATATTCTAAAAGTGGAAAGCGACAAAGTTATAACTTAAAAATTGAATGACTAAAAGGCAAAGTTATAATATGCGTTCTTAATTCTAAGGCTTTCAACTTTCCCCCCTTCCCCTATAATTGTTTATTTATTAGATTTTAAGCTTACGTTTATGAAGTCTTCAAAAAGCTCAATTTGGTACCATTATATTGAGTTGAAAGATCATATCTTCTTCATTTGGTAAACAAAATGGGATTTCAGTGAGAATACCAGCCTCTGGCATAAAATTCAAGCATGGGTTTGACTGGTGATCGATGTGTCTCTTGATGGTTTTAAGTTTTCTATTACTCTCTTTCATTTATTTCACAATTCCATAAATACTAGAGATATCTCCTCTCAAATTCTTTTCAATATATATGGAGTATATTAAAGACCTGTCTGCAAATTTTAAGGATGAACATGATATGATTGTTACAATTTATCATTCATGATTGTTCATAAAATCATCAACATTATTTTACTACACATTTATAATTCAACAAGAAGCTGCAGCCCTTTGGTCTCCTCAAGAAATGAGAAACTAGGTATAAAGAGTTTGCATGCAAGTACATATATTCCTGATTTCAAACTACAAAATGCCACTCGAGAATTTCATATAATCCCTGTCAAAAGATCTACAGAATTGTACATGATCATTCACATAAAGACACAACTTTTTATTCCTAATGATAGTCCTTAGTTCGGTAAAAAATACTTTTTTGGATCTAGTGCTTATAAGTGTAAACAATATCTATACATTATTATGAAATGGAGGAACAAAAGGAGGGAATCACTTTTTTTCATGGAAATGGTGTACTTTATTAGTTTGAATATTCATCATACAACATATGACTCTAATGTTCATCAAAATTTAACAATTAAGTAATTTTTGGGTCCTTGAAGCAGCAAATTATTAACTAGCTTGATCCTTTCTTCAAATTTTCTCTCTAGACTTTTCATAGTTACAAAGTCAAAAAAAATTGACAAGCCAACAATTCAGAGAAAAAATATCATGCCTACTTTTACAATCAAATATTTCTAATGCCTTGTTATCATAAAACTGTTGCATCTATCAAACCTAAGTTAAATTCAAGAAAATGATAGTCACTCCAAAAGGTTTAGGAGATTCTCATTGAACATAGGAAGACAGATAAAATTTTACCACATGATCTTCCAGAAAACTATTTTTTGTTACATCTATAAGTAACTTGAGTAGATATTATAGAAGACAAATTAAATAACCATTTAAACCATGATGTGATTAGAAATCTAGAAGTAAATATGAAAATGTTTGCTAAGTATTAATAAACAAAAATACATACCCAATAGGGACCGAACTTTCTCGAGAGCGTCTTCTGAAACCGGTCCGTTGGGTGAAAGTGATGCTTTACAAGCGTTATAAAGCTTCTGTACAGCTGGCATGTTCAGCAAACCGACAACCGCTTTACCCACCGCTTATACAACAAAACTTATCTTACTGTGACTAACCGCTTCGAATAAACCAAGAATCCAGCCTGAAGGGTCCTCTATTGCTCGAAGACCCTTCAAGAACAGCCTTTCACAAGCAGCAGACCCTTCCAGAACACAGTTTGCCACAAGCTGGATCTACAATGCAAATCAAACCAATGATCACACATCCATGTAGTGCTTAACTGATCCAGTTTTACATTCTATTATCAATGCCACCTAACAAACAGAAGAAATCACCATTAAACTCAACATTTCTGATCCACAAAAAAATCAGAAATAGTACTCAAAAAATTTGGGGAAAAAATACCGTCCAAAATTACATTTTCATTTCCAAATTCCACCTCTAGATCCCTAACTCCAAGCTGAATGATTACAACGTAAAAACATCTATTTCCAATTAAAATCATGTCCAACTAAAACCGAACTTAGATGCGAGCTACTGTACTCTTCACCGGCAACAAATCTAGATATGCAATTTATCAAAAAAATTGAAAACTCACCGAAACAGAAGCAAACCTGAAAGGGATAGAATGTACAACTATATATTCCAAGAGAAATCGATGAGTTTCAGTAGATGCGTAATTCAATTGGAAAAAATTTACACAACTTGACGATCAACAATCCAAATGAGAATCGCACCAAATAGAGTTAAAAACACACAAAATTGGTCATGAACACACATACAACAAAAGCATATACATATACACAAACGAGTATTTTCCAGTTTAACAGTAGGGATTGTGAGTGAAAATAAGCAGAGAATGAGATGATTATACCTTTTAGCAAAAGCAGAGAGAACGGTAAAGCGGAAAGAACAGAGAGAGAGAGACTGTTATAGAAGGAAGAAGACGAACAAGGATTGCGTTTGCGTAAAATATGCTCTTTGGAACCTTTGGCAAAATCGGGTTCTGCGCTATGGGTCGGGTTATATGGTTCTGATAAAACCGACCCATCTTTGACCACTTGAAATTATCGCCATCAGTTGAAGTAAAAATTACACGAATGCCATTGTTCTATGTGTATTGTGTAATAATAAATGCTTCTATATGATAATAAGAAAAATGGTATGAAATAGCAAATTATTAATTTAAATTAAATGTTATAATTATAATTTATTTTATTTGTAGTTTGCAGAAAATAATTAATTTTTTTTGTTTGATATACAATCAGTCATTTTCTATATACAATTATCTATTCGGTATATAAATGTAAAGAAAAGTGTATATACAAATACAAATACATATATTTTCATCATATATATTTATAATTATATAAATACATATCTTATTATACAGATTATGATGTATAAATGAATTTGTACAAAACTGGATAAGATCAAAAGCTCCATAACAAAATTTTAAATTTACTATGAAATATAATTATGCAAACTATAGTTATAATATATACATATAATTTTTATATTTACTATATTTTATATTTTAACTATAACTCTTAAAATATTTCTATATATATATATATATATATATATATATATATGTA